AATAATGATCACAAGAACAACAACAACAATAATAATCATGATAACAATATTAATGATAACAATAATGATGATGCTAATAATGGTGATGATAATAATGATGATGATGATAATAATAATGGTGATGATAATAATAATGATATTATTAATGGTGATAATAATAATGCTGATTATTAATGGTGATGATAATAATAATGATATTATTAATGGTGATAATAATAATGCTGATAATAATCATGAAGATAATAGTAATGATGATAATAATAATGAAGATAATAGTAATCATGATGATAATAATGATAATAATAACAGTGGTGATAATAATAATAGAAATAATAATTATTATTATTACCATAGTAACAACAACAACAACAACAATAATAATAATAATAATAATAATAATAATGATAATAATAAATCTAGTATTATAATAACACGAAAATATATAATTGATGAATATGATAAAGATAAATATGAAAGTGAGATATACAATGATGATATCACATATAGTGAAAATATGATAGTGATAACTTTTTTGTGATGATAAAAGTGATAATGGTAATAAATGTGATAATAAAAAAATAGATAATTATTACACTAGTGATAAAAATACTGATAATAATACTGATTGTGATAATAATAAAAAATGATAATAATAATAAATAACTACAAAAGCACTCAGAGAGTGCAGACCTCCGCCAAATCTTCCCATTCTATCACACCGACTTGAGAACAGTGCCAATGTAAACAAACCAAACAGTACCAGTGTAAACAAACCAAACTGTGCCAATGTAAGCAAACCAAACAATACCAGTATAAACAAACCAAACAGTGCCAATGTAAACAAACCAAACAGTGCCAGTGTAAACAAACCAAACAGTACCAGTGTAAACAAACCAAACAGTACCAGTGTAAACAAACCAAACAGTACCAGTGTAAACAAACCAAACAGTACCAGTGTAAACAAACCAAACAGTACCAGTGTAAACAAACCAAACAGTACCAGTGTAAACAAACCAAACAGTACCAGTGTAAACAAACCAAACAGTACCAGTGTAAACAAACCAAACAGTACCAGTGTAAACAAACCAAACAGTACCAGTGTAAACAAACCAAACTACCGGTGTAAACAAACCAAACAGTACCAGCGTAAACAAACCAAACAGTACTAGTGTAAACAAACCAAACAGTACCAGCGTAAACAAACCAAACAGTACCAGTGTAAACAAACCAAACAGTACCGGTGTAAACAAACCAAACAGTACCAGCGTAAAAACAAACAAACAGTATCAGTGTAAACAAACCAGACTGTGCCAGTGTAAACAAACCAAACTGTGCCAATGTAAACAAACAGTGCCATCAGAGTCAGGTCCAAGGGCTCAAAAGAACAAACAACCTTATTCATATTACATGGTCATCATAATTATGTAAAGAAGATAGTAACAATGTAAAGAATTTTCTAGAATATCAGAATGTGTTTACACGAGTATTTTTTTTCAACTATTTATTACTGAAAGACATTAACGGACAAGACGGATATCAGCAAAACGAAAACTATCGTGTTCGTTTGGAGGGCCATACATGCTGTACAGAATAATAAAAATAATAAGAGAATAAAGATAATAACGATAATAATAATGATGATTATTAGAATAATAATAATAGTAATAGTAATGATGATAATAATAATAATGATAATAATAATAATAATAATAATTATACAAAATATTGATAATAATATTGATAACATAATAGCAACATCAATAATATCTGTAAGAATAGATATTAGTAACAGCAATAATAACAGTAGCAACAAACACGTAATATGTTAAACATAATACATAGACACACATAACAAACATACTTACCTCAGTTTATATAACGCTTAACAACAGGTCACTCAGTTCTATGCAAATAATCTCCTCCTAGTCCCTACTGCCTGGCGCCCCCACTCAGGTTATACCTTTTTCAGAATTAAAATAAATATTTTCATGTCAGACAGACTAAACATAAACTGGATAACATACCGGTATGCGTTATTGATAAATCGTTAAACGAAGGGGTTCTCATACTGCTAACCCTGAGCAATTTCCGTCCGCTTTAGGAGAAATATCCTAGTTTTTTTTATCTGTAGATACATATGTTACAATTGTCTGTATGTATAAAGCCATGTGAATAGTATTGCATCGTTTGAAGTGAATTTATCAATGGAATCGAATAGAGATGTATTTTCAGTCGAATGTGAAATTCAGGTTAGTTTACATAAGAGGAGACAGGGATTAAGGGGACGAGGGAGAGAGACTGTAAACGAAATGTGAAGGTAGTTTCTAGTTTAACACTGGATTCATAAACCCACATTACAGAGAATATGCCCCCCCCCTCAAGAACCCACAGTTGACATATTTAGTTTTCCTTAAAAGGCTTATGAATCTTACGCTCCGTTTATATGTCCTATAAATCATTACCATCATGGTTTTGTCATTACTTCAGTTATTGCCAACATACCTATCATTATCACTGGTAAGTTTATTACTAAATTCGTTATCATTAACATTATTGTTATTACTATAGTTATTATAATTTTCATTAGTATTAGCGTGGCTATTGGCATTGATATTAACATTAATATTAGCTTTGGCATTAATATTAACATTAGAATTGTAATTTTTATTACCATTACATTTTCCATTAATATTATCATTAATATTACGATTAATATCATCATTAACACTGCCATTGATATTAGTGGTATTATTAGTATTAAGATTAGTATTAATATTACATTGATATTAACATTAATATTAACTATGATAGTAACATTAATATCAACTTTGATATTAACATTAATTCAACTTTGATATTAACATTGATATTATCTTTGATATCAACATTAACATTAACTTTGATATTAACATTAATTTAACTTTGATATTATTATTAATTCAACTTTGATATTAACATTAATTTAACTTTGATATTAACATTAATTTAAATTTGATATTAACATTAATTTAACTTTGATATTAACATTAATTTAACTTTGATATTAACATTAATTTAACTTTGATATTAACATTAATTTAACTTTGATATTAACATTAATCTAACTTTGATATTAACATTAATTTAACTTTGATATTAACATTAATTTAACTTTGATATTAACATTAATTTAACTTTGATATTAACATTAATTTAACTTTGATATTAACATTAATTTAACTTTGATATTAACATTAATTTAACTTTGATATTAACATTAATTTAACTTTGATATTAACATTAATTTAACTTTGATATTAACATTAATTTAACTTTGATATTAACATTAATTTAACTTTGATATTAACATTAATTTAACTTTGATATTAACATTAATATTAGCTTTGATATGAATACTAATAGTAACAATAATATAGTATTGATATTAGCATTTATTTTAGCTTTAATATCAGCTTTCATATTCACAATAATATTAGCATTGTTATTAGTATTAACAATAGCATTTGCATTATTATTAACAATAGTATTTGTATTAGTATCAATTATAACACTTGATAATATTATCACTATTGGGATTAAAAATAGCATCAGTATTATCATTAATAATAGCGTCATTATTACCATTAACAATACATAAATATCAGCATTTTTTAAATAAGAATATGGGTATTAGAGTTAATGATAGCAATGGCATGAACGTTGATATTAGCATTAGTATTAATAATAATGATGATCATAATAGTTATTATCATCGTTATTACTATCATTATTGTCATTATTATTATTATCGTTATTACTGTTATGATCATTATCATCACTGTTATCATGGTGATGATGATATTAATAATAATAGGAATAATGAAATTAGATAATGATAATAATAATGAATAATAATAATGAAAAAAAATAATGAAATGATAATAATAATAACAATAGTAATGATGATGATGTTGACGATGATGATAATAGTAACAATGATAATGATAATAATAACGATAGTAATAATAATAATAACGATAGTAATAATGATAATAATAATAATAATAATAATAATAATAATAATAATAATAATAATAATAATAATGATAATGATAATGATAATAACAACAACAACAACAACAACAACAATAATAATAATAATGATAATAATAACAATGATAATAATAATAATAATAATAATAATAATAGTAATAATAACAATAATAATAATGATAATAATAATGATAATAATAAATATAACAATAATAGCAATTATAATAATAGCAACGATAATATTAATGTTAATAATAATAATAATGGTAATAATAATGAAATAAATGATAGAAATAATGATAATAACAACAGTACTAATGATAATCATTATAATAATGCTAATGATAGTAGTATTAATAAAGATGATAATAATAATAATAATAATAATGATAATGATAATAATAATAATGAAAATCATAATCATGATGATAATAGCAATTAATAATGAGGATAATGTTATTAATGAAAATAATAACAGTAATAATAGTAATGATAATAATGATAATAATAATGATATAAATAGTAATAATAATTATGATATTCATAATTATAATGATAGTACGAATAATATCAATATTATTATTATTATTATTATTATTACTATTATTATTATTATTAGAATTATTATCATTATTATAATCAATGGATATAGCAATGGTATTAACAACAGTAATAATATTATTATTAATTATGATAATGATAATAATAATAATGATAATAATGATAATAACGACAATAATAATAATGATAATAATAATAGTAATAGTAATAATCATTATTTTCATTATTATTGTAATTTATTATTAGTAGTAGTATATGTAATATCATTATTATTATTATTATTATTATTATCATTATTATTATTATTACTGATAAGATCATTGTTGTTGCTATTATTATCGTCATCATTATTTCGATTGTCAATAATTTTGATATCATTATGATTATTACTATTAATTTTGATATCATCATTAGTATCCTAATTATTGTTAATATCATCATTATCATGATTGTCGTGAACATCATCATTATCATTGATATCATATATTATCGTTAATATTACAATTGTCGATACTATTATTATCATCGTTAATATTATCATTATGGTTAATATCACCACAATCATTATTATATCATTATCATCGTTACTTGTATCATTATCGTTAATACTGCTATTATCGATAGTATTACAAGTATCGTTAATATAATAATTATCTCTAAGATTAATAACATCGTATCAGTAATATCACTACCATCATTATTAGCGGTGTCCCTAATACAACCATTATTAGTCGCATATCATAATCATCTTTAGTATTGATTATCAAAATGACTATATTGCAGTATTCCATTACCTCATCGAAAGCTCAAATTATTTTCAACATCCCTGCATATTAATAATTCATTTTATACAACTCTTTCGATGGTATTTCAGCTTCAAAACAAGAGTGAAGGAAAAAATATCCCAATGGGCTGTTTTTTTTTTGAGGTACCCCATCCACGAATACATACCAGGAAGGTCACATTGTTATTATCAATATTATTAGTAATACCATCGCCACTAATATTACTACTACTATCATAAGAATTTACAGTACTAGTAATAGGCGACTATTGTAATTCTTATTGATGTTATTATCACTACTTATCTTCTTATCATTTTGTGTTTTTTATTGTCATCTTTAACATTGGTTTTGCTATTACTGCTTTCATTAGTAGTTGGTAGTATCGCCAGTATTGTTGCATCCTTATTATTATTATACCACTGTTAATGTTCTTAATGTCATTATCAATGATGTTGCCTTTATCATTGTCATTACTTTTGTCATAGCATTATGATTACTGTTGCCAACATAATTATTATTACTATGGTTATTATGATTATGTGATCAATACCATCAATATTATTATTGTCATTATCATTATTATGACCACTGTTATGATCATTAACATAGAAGAACAGCAACAACAACAATAATAATAATAATAATGATGATAATAATAATAATAATAATAATAATAACAACAATAATAATAATAATAATAATAATAATAATAATAATAGTGGTAATAATAATGATAATAATGATAATAATAATGATAATGATAATAATAATAATAGTAATGATAATAATAATAATAATAATAATAATAATGATAATAATAATGATGATGATAATAATAATAATGGTAATAATAATGATAATAATGATAATAATAATAATAATAGTAATGATAATAATAATATTGATAGTAGTAATGATAATAATAATAATAGTAATAATAATAATAATAATAATGATAATAATAATAATAATAATAATGATAATAATAATAATGATAATAATAATGATAACAATTATAATTATAATAATAATGATAATGGTAATAATAATGATAATAATGATAATAATAATAATAATAATAATAATAGTAATAATAATAACAATAATAATGATAATAATGATAATAATAATAATAATAATAGTAATAATAATAACAATAATAATAATAATTATAATAATAATAATAATAATAATAATAATCATAATAATAAAAAAGACCACTTATAAAAAATTGCAAAAAATTCTAATTGAGTGAGCAAGAGTACATATTACAGGGCAATGGAGTTTACAAACGTTAAGATGTTTATTTCAATATTCACAGACACACGCAAATACACAAACAACCCGACACCAGGCCAAGTCATCAGCAAAAGTCCTCGTAGATCGTAGGGTCAAGATTCACCAGCTTCTCCCCGTCGTAGCAGGAGGCGCCAGAGGAGATAAGACTCATGTAGGCGGAGTTGGTGATGAGCCACGCGATCTCGCATCCACACCCGAGAGGGTTGTCTAGGAGGAAAGAGAGAGAGAGAGAGAAAAAGACTCAAATCAGTAACCCCTGGATTGCTTCTACCAGTTACAGATACAGTGAGATAGGAAGGGAATGGAGATCGTTAAAAAGCAAAATAGAAAATGATAATCAAAGAGAAAAGAACACAGGCAAAAGAAGATGAAAAAGAGATAAAAAAGGAAATTTACTCACCGTCAATATTGAGTGAGGCTCCTGCTGATAGAAAAGCCCCGAAAACTTCCTCATCAAGAACAGTCAGCGAATTTTTAAAAAGATTTATGTCACCGTCGCCAAGACCTTTAAGTTAACAGTATCTATAAATTTAGTGTATACATATATATATATATATATATATATATATATATATATATATATATATATATATATATATATATATATATATATATATATATATATAATCATGATATAAATAAACAAGTGTTTAGAGTCTGTGCTTGTGAATTTATATTCGAATATAAATCGTATAGGCCATAGTGCGTCCAATCTCAGGAAAAGAAAAACTGGCAACTCACTCCGAACTTCCGCAGTATACTGATTCAACATTTCTCTTCCGAAAAAATGCGGTGTGGAGAAATAGAACAGTACTTATATAAG